AATTAAAAATTTAGGTTTATCTACTGCGATTGAAGTATCTTATGCTCAAAACTAAGACATTTCAACACAAACCAGATACGGATAAGTTTGAGGGCTAATAACCCTAACCCTAATTTATTTCTACCCTCATCCCTAACTCTTTAACTCTAATTTTCCAAACCTTTACCTTAATTCTATCACCTCTGACAATACTCTCTTCTCTTTTCATCATCACATTACTGCTATCACCGTCTACAATCCATCGCTTCTACCGTTACTGTTGAAACCCTAACCCTGGATTTTGCGCCGCGCCCTCTTTCAACTCACCATCATCAAGAGAGAGTATATGTGAGAGAGAGAGAGAGTCACGAAGAAGAAGATGAAGAGAGAGAGAGAGAGAGAGAAAAAGAGAGAGAGAGTGGTTACAATTGAGCCTCGTCATGGCTAAGGCATTGCCAGTGATGGGATTTGTCACTGTTTGAGATCGCAACAGAGCTTCTGATATTGATTTATAGATTATGATTTGAGTTCGTGACCCTGTGATCCAATTAGGGCTTGGTGCAAATCGAAATAAGGAGTTGTGGGGCTTGAAAATGAAGATGATGATGGAGGGAGATCGAGAGAGAGAGAGATAAGGAGATAGAACCCTAGAAGGAGAGAGAGAGAGAGAGAGAGAGAGAGAGTGCCATTTTGGGAATATAATAAAAAGTCACGTTTTTGGATGCAAAAAATGCAACAAAATCCCTTTGGGAAGTGCCAAAAATGCAGTCTTAAAATTACAAATTAGGGCCTATGAAAAAAAATAAAAAAATAAATCTCTTATGTTGGGTAAGGATATTTTGGTCATTTTAATTTGATTTGACACCATAAATAAATATTAAATTAAAAAGTAAAAAAATCAGCTTTTTACCAATTTTTCAAATCACTCCCAAAAAAGTTAAAAAGCTTGGTAAAAAGTCAAAAGTCAACTTTTTACCAACTTTCTAAAACAACCCAGAGAAAGAGAGAGAGAATGTAAGAGATTGTTTAGGGTTTTGCAGGTGAATAAAAAGAAGAGGTAGAGATGGAGAAGGAGGTGATTGGAGCAAGGAAGAGATTAAAGTTGGAAATATGGTGGTGTTAAGAAAAATAGGTAAAATATAATTTTGGATGATGGGAGTGGTAAAGTTGGAAATATGGTGGTGTTAAGAAAAATAGGTAAAATATAATTTTGGATGATGGGAGTGGTAAAGTTGGAAATATGGTGGTGTTAAGAAAAATAGGTAAAATATAATTTTGGATGATGGGAGTGGTAAAGTTGGAAATATGGTGGTGTTAAGAAAAATAGGTAAAATATAATTTTGGATGATGGGAGTGGTAAAGTTGGAAATATGGTGGTGTTAAGAAAAATAGGTAAAATATAATTTTGGATGATGGGGAGTTTAAAGACACGGAATTAGAATTTATCTTTCTTCCTTTTTTTTCTTTTTTCACACTGGACTTTTTAAAATTGAAATAGTAATACAACTTATAAAGAAAAGTGATCAAAAAAAAAAAAAAAAAAAAAAAAAAACAAAAATGAAAAAAAAATGCTAGAGATCATAAAAATTCTACCAAAAGTTTTACCAAATATTTCACATGGGTGTAAGACCCACATGGGACCCACATTGTGTGGGACCCACACCCATGTGAGATATTTGATAAAACTTTTAGTAGAATATTTGAGGTCTCTAGCATTACTCAAAATGAAAAGAAGTTATGAGAGTGAGAGAGCAAATACTTACTCCAGCTTCGTTTGGGAATATATTATTTTAATAATTTTTTAGTTTTTTATGAAAAGATGGGCAGAAAAGTAGAAAGGTGATGTGATAACTTTTAGTAACTTTTTGACTTTTTGGCTAAAATAGCCACTCCCCAAACGAGGCCTCCGTATAATTCTGTCTTTATTACATTCCCAACAATAGAGGGTTGGTTTAACATGTTTGAAAAAAGTTAAAAAGTCAAAAAATCACTATCCTATTTAAGTTACATCATCTTATTTAAGTCACATCATCTCTTTCACGTATCACTTCAAACCCAACCTAAACCCAACCCATATTTCATATTTAGATCATCCCAAATAACTCCTAAGTTGTTATGTAAAATTGACTTTATCTTTATTTTTTTAACTATGATTTATTATTTTGAATTTTATTGAAAGTAATAAATTTTAGAATTGTGAGTCAATAAAATCTTATGAGATTATGGCAATACACATTTAAAACATCAAAAAAAGTTCTCTATTTTTATAAAGAAAAATGTTTGAGCGTCACAAATTCTGTGGCTCAAATGACCCGAAACTGTCAAAAAGACGCCGTTTTGTGCCGTTTTACACCCAAAATGACGTCATTTTGACAGTTTCGAACCATTTGAACCACAAAATTTGTGGCCACCTAGCATTGCTGTTTTATAAAATGTAAAGATTAGTAAAATAAAGAAAATTATTTTTTATATTTAGAATTTGTTTGGAATTCTTTAAATAAATATATTTATTTAGATCATATTAACTCTTTACTTTTTAAACTTTTTTTTCGTAAAAAATAAATTTTTTTTTTTAAATCATCTTCCCAAATAACTAAACTCCGAAGCAAAAAATAATGTTTTTAATCAAAGATTTAAATTTATTTATCGCAATTGAACTCTCTCATACTCAAATCAAAGACACTTGAATGCAACCTTGTATTTCATAGGCAAAACCTACGTTCGGTGTATTGGATAGTCGCCCCACCATTCCACGAGTAATCAATAAATTGGCCTCGCCTCCTTGCCAATTTTCATAGCCTCGAGTTTGTAGAACAATCTGGACATGATTAAAGAAATCACCTATGGTCATCATAGTGTTTGGTACTATGTAAACCATCTGAGATCCTCGTGTCAGATCAACTTCCATAGATGCAAAAGTGGCTTGATCTCCGGTCCACCTTGTATCTCTGAGTACTAGAACAGCCATGTTTCCTTGCTCCGTTCTATGTAAGACTTGGAAGCGAACTTGTATTACTCCAAGATGAACGTACTGCATATGGCTCCGTTGTAAATCCTCAAAACTCTCAGGCTGAATGAATGGTCGTTCAATCTGCGTGTCTCCTACACAGAGTATGGCCTCCTCAGATCTATGAACATAGACCCGGTGATGAGCATCATCCCTCCTTGTACGATATAACACCTCAGCTGGTGCTATGCTTGCTCTATCGGCCATCGAGAGTTGTAACTGTGTTTCTGGTGCGATCTGCTGCTCCAGAGTGTTTGTTGTTGAAGGTCGACCTCGAACTCTTTGGGCTATATTTGCTGCTCCCCTTCTGAGTAAGAAATTCCTGCGTTGATCCCTCCGGTATGTTCGAATTTGGTCCTCGAACAGTGGTGCTCCTGGTGTTGCCGTGGTTGCTGGTGGTCTATTTGTTACCCTGGGAAGAGTAACTGTTTGCGTGCGTGATCTAGACGCCATCTAGATAGGCTTCTGCTTTAACTTATCTAATTCCACTTGCAGCAACTTGTTGGGATTCCTGTGAACTCTGAGCAATCCTCTTGACTCCTTTGGTCGTTCCTTAGGTCCAAGTGAAAGATTCTCAAGCTTTGTGATTAATGATTCAGGGATCACTTCAGCTTTTGCCTTCTGAGCCTCCAAGCTTCGTATTCGAGCTTCAAGCGCTTGTACCTGTTGTGACAACTGAACACACAATTCAATTATGGTATTATTCTGTCTGATAAGGGTCTTGAATCCAATGGGAGTAGTGATATTTGCGACAGTTGTTGAAAGACCAATTCCTGGTTCTTCCGTTAATTCTGATGATTTCAAGGCTTTTTGATAGAACAAATCGTCCTGAGTCATTCAATGAGTGCTCCCTTGATTTGTTGAAGAAGCTCTTCTACTGGTTTAAGCTGGGTTTTGGTAAGGCTAGTAGTTCCTTCTTCAAGACAGACTTGGGTTAAGGAATTAATTCCTTTTTCAAGCTTTTCAATCTTTTGGGTCAACTGCTGAACACTACTTTCAAGAGATTGAATTTGTAACTGCTGTTTACGGAATTCTTTCAAATTTACTTTACTGGAAAGACAAGTTCTATCGTAAATAACAGCAATATTATGAGCTAGTTCTTTAGAAGATGGCTTATCAGTTGTGGAAAGATCAAGGTAGTTTAGGCTTGAAGTTTGTGATTTTTCATACCATTCCTTAATGTTTTGTTCCCATATATTTGTCATAATCTATATACTGGTCTGGGTAAAAATATATTAACTAGTCTGAGTTATTTAGAATTTCTAATTACCAGAAAGAAGCGCTATAATCTATATTTACAACTCAAGGTCCAAGTTGTCTGGTATAAGCCTATCTCTAAAATAAATAGCAACAGAATGGAATTTGTCTTTCTTTCCCATTTCTAAAATTAAAATAGTAACAACGTATAGAGAAAAAAAGTAGACCAAAGAAAAAAACAAAAAGAAGTAGTAAGAGTGAGACAGCAAAAAAAAAAAAAAAAAAAAAAATATATATATAATTAATATTATTACGGCTTTATTTATTTATTTATAGCTTTGTTTGGGAAATGGAAAACTGAGGACCCTCCTGATTATCAACAATGATTTAGATCATAAAAAAAACACATCATTAATAGCATTAATATATTAAGAATGACAAAAAAACAAAAAAAAAAACAAAAACAAAGCATAGAAAATGAGCGAAACTCACTGTCACATCATTAATATTTCTTTTAGGCCCCGTTTAGGGATTTATTTTTTTAGTCAATTAGTCAAAAAGTTACTAAATTAACCAAAAAGTCAACAACTCATAGCAAAAAGTCAAAGATTCTCTTTTTTCTCTACTTTTTGCACATCTTTTTGTAATTAACTAAAAAATCATCCCAAACATACAAATTTTTTTTACCTACATTTTTAATCAAATAATCAAAAAATTACTAAATTAACCTGTTCCTAAACAAACAAGACCTTAATGTTCTCTTTTTAGTGCTCCTAAACATTTTTCTCCTCAATATATATGTAAATAAATTAAATAGATGATGGATGGGTTTCAAATCGCGATTTCTGTCACTCTCGCTTTGCTTTGCATTGGGATTCTGATTTCCCATGTTTGATTCTGCCAAATTTCAACATCTCCCTCCCCGATCTTCCCTCATTTCCATGTATGTATGTATGTATGTATGTAGGTATCTCTCTCTCTCTCTCTCTCTCTCTCCTGTCACGCTTCGGTTTCTTTAGCAGAGCCGCAGAGCGTGTGGGTCTACAACTACATCTATATCTATATATATGTATCAGTATATCTCTCTCTGACTGAACTCTTCTCATTCTCTTTTCTTATCGTTTTCTCGCCGTAGATCTCTCTCTCTCTCTCTCCGGCGCTAATCTACAGATCCGTATGCAGTGTGATTTCGACCGTTAGATGCTGAGACTTTGATTGAGCTTTTGACTTGGTCCGCCATTGGAGTGTGAAAAAAGAAAGAACCTTCAGCTTCGATGGGGCAGTGCTATGGTAAGACCATTCCTACTAGCGACAACGACGCTTCCACCACCATCACCGCGGATCGCCCGTCCCAGACTCCCGGTAGGTCTTCGGCTAACAACGGCGCAGTGAAGAACACGCCAGCTCGATCCTCAGCGACGAGTCCGTGGCCGAGTCCGTATCCTCACGGCGGCGCCAGCCCACTCCCGGTGGGAGTGTCGCCGTCGCCGGCGAGGTCGACTCCGAGGAAGTTCTTCAAGAGGCCGTTCCCGCCTCCGTCGCCCGCGCAGCACATCAAGGCCTCTCTGGCGAGGCGATTTGGGTATGCGAGGCCCAGGGAAGGCCCGATCCCTGAAGATGTTGCGGCGGCGGAGCCTGATCAGTCACTGGATAAGAACTTCGGTTACAATAAGAATTTCGGTGCTAAGTATGAATTGGGGAAGGAGGTGGGACGAGGGCATTTTGGTCATACATGCCAAGCAAGGGGCAAAAAGGGAGACCTCAGAGACCTACCTCTTGCTGTCAAAATCATCGCTAAAGCAAAGGTTTCATCTTCTCAATTATATCCTGATTTTAATCACTTTTTAAGTAAATTGATATATCATATATGTGTCCACTTCACTTCTACAGCATTTGCAGTTTGATCCAATTGCCCGTTTAGCTTGTTTTTGGTTTAATTTCTTCAAATTGCAGTAAATTTGGAGTTGCATTGTTAGGTTTTCTAGCTAATTTTGCAGTTATCTTTGTTTTTGTTCGGGAAATTTGGCTTCTCTTGAATCTTCCTTTGAAAGTGTAGATTTTTTTATTTTATATTATTTTTTTAATGTGGCAGGGATGTGCCTTTTACAACTCCAAAATCAATATATGCAATGATGGTATCTGATAGCCTTCTAAATTTTAATACATCAAACTCCAAAATCCGCATTCATTTCTGTTTATAATATGTATATGTAACAGAACTTGTCATTAGATAATGTCTTCATTTCTAATTGTTGTTGTTGTTTTTTTTTTGAATTTTTTTATTATTATTTTATTTTTTTTATTAGAATTTTGGTATAACAATTATGATATAAAAAATTAGATTGGTGTGCAGCCAATGACCAATTGATTCAACAACTCTACAAGGAAATTTTGAAAGAAAAAAAGAAAAGAGAACCTAAGCTAATCCACTGAGAATAATTTTTTTTATCTATATCAGCTATACAACAATTAGAGAACTTAAAATCAGTGATAACTGGTTGACCACTCATTGTGATAAACATATGCACACATATAGATGCAAACCATGCATAAATTTCATATTTGTAGGATTTTCTTCTTTTTTAATTTTATTTGTAAAACGTGCAGTTCCACCCTTTACAACTCTGATCTCCTTTGATTCAAATTTAATCAAAGGTTTTTTCCTGCCAAACATTTTTTTACCATAAATTTTATGAGTTCTTATGCTCTTTTAGAGCCTTCAGTGCTTTCTATGTTAAAGCAATATGTGCCTTTTTAAAAGAGTCACTGAAATGTCATTTAAACTACTTGTTTCCCACAAAGAAAATTGTGTCTTGTGGCTTACTTGGTTTCTGGAAGGAGGATAGGATACGTGATAAGGTATAACTAATTATAAGTCTACATCAAGATTTAGCCTTTTGTAGGAAAACTTGCATGGTGAAGAGTGTCGGTTAAGAATATTAGTTATCTGACATGAAGAGGCTCATAACTTCAGAATGCAATGTAATTATGACATTGTCATTACGTCGGAATTTCGAAGTAGTTAAAGCAACAAGTATTTAATGTACGTGTGTCATTTGTCATTTAATTGCATGTTGGACATAATAAAGCTAACTTAGTTTGTCGTTTATGTATTTAAAGTTCATCATGGGAAATAAAATCAGTCATTATTTCACTTGTTTAAAATTGTTCCTTTTATTTATGTTTTTTGAAACCTTGTAACAACACGTGTATCTGTTTGCGGGGGTAGGGGGGAGAGATTGTTGGAGGGTTTGCTTGCCAGATAAGCATACAATGGGATGGATCCAGACATAACATAATTTACTGTATACATTGTTGTTATAGTTGGTTTCTGACTTGCGTGTTTGCAACATAATGGAGACAATGAGAAGGGTTGAGATGCACCCGTATTTGACACTTGAGACTCAAGTAAACTCAAGTCTACTCAATGAGACTTAATTTCAGTTACTTGGAATTAGACGTTAGTTACATGAATCCATTTTCTCCATTTGGCTATATTTAAACCATATCTTTAGTAAAGTTGAAGTCAATTGTGTCTTTTCTTACTTCTTCAACCCATTACTTTCTTGGCATTCCCTGTACCCATTTGGTACCTTCCACCTAATATGATGACTCTTCCTTGCCGACACATTTAATTGCTCTATCATGTACTTGACTAAATCATCTCAAGCAACTTTCTGTCCTTTTGTTTTCAATAGTGCCACTTTTAACCAATATTTCAAATATAGGCCGTTACGTATCGTATTGGACGTTATGTATAAAAAGTTTGGACTTCCGATACAGTTATTCATCAATATATCGGCTGCTATTGTCCAATATTGGTCAATATATGACCATATCTCCGATTCTATGCATATCGCGATATCATTGTTAAATCCATGCCTTTAACTTCACAGGAATATATTCCATTCATGTTTTATCTATTCTTTTATCACCACTTGTCCATTTCAATATTTTCATTTAGCTAAATGCCCCAACAAGAGTATTTTAGGATTTAAGTCTTAATCTGGCCATCTACCTACCAAAATCCTCCTTTATTGGGGTTTAGATCACTAGGTAATATATATTTCATTTAGGACAATGTAGGTGGAGTTACACTCATTGCTTATGCAACATAATAAATCAAACTCGTTATTTTATTTTATTTTTTACTTTTAAGGTTCAGACTCAGTAGCTAGACATCTCAGTTTTCAGGCCTATTTGATGAATATGGCTTAAAGGCGTTCCCATGCATTTATAGAGATTAATCTTGAAACAAATTAGTTGGGGATACTGGCAGCATAGCCAAATATTCAATAAAGTAAAAACCATGTGTGCTTTATCAGGAGAATCAATATTAATAGTTGTTCCTCCAAATATTCATCTTGGGGGTAATAGTTGATCGACTTATTTGGTAGGTTTATGTCACATGTGACATGCCATACACTCTGTATTACATTTTTATCATCCAATCAATAATTAAGCAAACATTCTCAATGTTTTGCCAACTGTAATCAAAGTGAAAATATGGATGAGAGTACTTACCTTAAATGGAAGTTTTTTTTTTTGCTGACAAGCACAAACCAAACCAAACCAAACCAAACCAAGCCTTAAGTCCCATCAAATGGGGTCGGCTACATGAATCCTTCTTCTCCACGCGGTCCTATCAAAGGCCATATTATTAGTCAAATTAAGTAGATTCATATCTCTATTTATAACGCTAGTCAACGTTAATCTAGGCCTACCCCGTCCCCTAACACTTCCATCTACCGTTACAGTATCGCATCTCTTCACTACTGCCTCTGTTGGTCTTCGTTGAATATGACTAAACCATCTCAAACGATTCTCTCTCAACTTATCTTCTATCGGTGCTACTCCTAGCCATTCTCGAATACACTCATTCCTAATCCTGTCTTGTCTTGTCTAGTCTTACCACACATCCACCTTAGCATCCTTATCTCAACCACACTCATCTTATCTACATGTTGTTTCTTGGTTGCCCAACACTCCGTCCCATACAACATAGCTGGTCAAATAGCCGTTCTATAAAACTTACCTTTTAGTCTAATGGGTATTCGTTTATCGCACAATACCCTAGATTCACTTCTCCACTTATATCATCCCGCCTTAATCCTATGGGCCACATCTGCATCAATCTCTCCCGCTGTTGTGATAATCGACCCTAAATAACGAAAATGTTCACTCTTAGGCAGTTCTTGATTCTCAATCTTCACTTCTCCCCTGCTTTCATTGTTACTGTTACTAAATTTACACTCCATGTACTCTGTCTTAGTTCTGCTTATCCGGAATCCTTTAGATTCAAGAGCTTTTCTCCAAATCTCCAACTTTGTGTTGACTCATTCTCTAGTCTCATCCACTAACACAATATCGTCTGCAAAAACCATACACCATGGCACGTCATCCTGAATATTTATCGTCAACTCGTCCATAACTAAAGCAAAAAGATAAGGGCTTAAGGTAGATCCTTGGTGTAACCCTACAGGGATAAGAAATTCATTTGTCTCTCCAGCTGGCGATCTAATAGTGGTCAACACCCCTTCATACATGTCCCTAATCACGTCAATGTAGCCTTTTGTCACCCCTTTCTTCTCTAACACCCACCATATTATATCTCGGGGCACTCTGTCATATGCTTTCTCAAGGTCGATAAACACCATATGAATGTCTCTTTTCTTTTCTTTTCTTTATACTTTTCTATTACTCTCCTCAAAAGATAGATTGTTTCCATTGTTGACTTACCATGCATAAATCCAAATTGATTCTCTGACACCTATGTTATGTCTCGCAATCGGCGTTCCATCACCCTCTCCCACACTTTCATTATATGATACATTAGCTTGATTCCTCTATAGTTGTTACAATTCTGGACATCACCTTTATTCTTATAGATTGGCACTAAAATACTCTTCCTCCACTCATCTGGCATGTTCCTAGTCAACAAAATTTTGCTAAACAACCTAGTCAACCAAGCAACTCCCTTTTTACCCAGACACTTCCAAGTTTCAATAGGGATATCATCGGGTTCTAAAGCTTTATTTGATTTCATCTTCTTAAGTGCAATCTCTACTTCAAAGTTTCTAATCCTGCGATAGAACCTATAGTCTTGGTTTATCGTATTACTGGCTATTTCTTCTCCTATTGTTGTACTTCCATGTTTCTCATTTAACAGTTTCTCAAAATAATTCTTTCATCTTTCCTTAATCTCATCATCCTTCACCAATATCTTAGAATCCTCGCTCTTGATGCATTTTACTTGATTAAAATCTCTTGTTTTCCTCTCCCGTATCTTAGCAAGTTTGTATACCCTCTTCTCTCCCTCCTTACTATCTAGTCTAGTGTATAGGTCATCATAAGCTTTCAACTTAGTCTCTCTCATTACTTTCTTGACCTCCTTATTTGCCAATCTATAGCTCTTAAGGTTTTCCTCAGTTCTATCCTTCTGCCACTTTTTAAAGCACTCTTTTTTTGCTTAACTACCGCTTGAACCTCTTCCCTCCACCACTAAGTTTCCCTAGAGCTGGGTCCCGTTCCTTTTTACTCTCCAAGCACTTCCCTTGAGATTCTCCTCATACAATTGGCCATCGAATTCCACATAGTGTTAGCATCACCTTCTAAGTCCCAAGTACCTTCCTTATCTATTCGATTTTTAAATATTTCTAGTTTATCTCCTTTTAGGTCCCACCATCTCGTCCTACGACGCCCACCATCCTTCCTAGCTTGGTATTGCCCTCTAAAACATAAATCTAGTACCAAAATCCTATGTTGAGCGACCAGGCTCTCTCCAGGAATCACCTTACAATCATTTCATTTTAGGCAGTCCACTTTTCTCACTAAGAAGTAATCTATTTGGTTCTTAACTAATCCACTCTTAAAGGTTATCAAATGCTCCTCCCTCTTCTTATATATAGTATTGGCCACCACCAGGTCAGAAGCCAACGCAAAATCTAAGATTCTCTCTCCAGCCTCATTTCTGTCACCAAAACCGTATCCACCGTGCACCCTTTCATAACCTAGTTTATCTATGCCCACATGGCCATTAAAATCTCCACCTATAACCAGGTTCTCTCCTACGGGTATCTCCTGTAAGATCTCATTCATTTGCTCCCAAAAATCCCTCTTAGTCTGATCATCTAACCCTACTTGAGGGGCGTAAGCGTTAATAATGTTCACTATATTCCCTCCAATAACTAGTTTAACTAGCATAATCCTATCTCCTTTCCTGGTGACCGCTACCACACTTTCCACATAACCCTTGGCAATTATGATTCCTACCCCATTCCTGCGTCTATCTTTACCACTATAATAAAGTTTAAAACCAGTATCCTCAATTTCCCTAGCTTTCTCTCCCGTCCACTTAGTTTCTTGTATGCAAGCTATACTAACTTTCCTCCTAATCATAACATCTACCAATTTTATCGTCCTACCAGTTAAGGTTCCTATGTTCCAAGTGGCTACCCTAAACCTGTAGTCTTGGACTAGTTTCTTTACCCGCGCTCGTCCAGAAAAACGCGAAAACCTTTGCCCATTTTTCACCACACCCAGGCGTCGATGCGGCGCCCCTTGCTCACTTTTCGAAACACCCGAAGGCAGGCGCAACGCGTCACTTGAGGGGAACGACCTAGCATTTAAACGATTCAAAGTAGGATTCATTTTCATAAGGGATCCGAGCGGCTTTTTTACGTGTTGGTTGTCGGCTACCTAACACACAATCCTCCTCCTTAAGTTTACATATTGAAAATCCATCAAGACTTTTTGCTTTCATACAGAATTTGGCATCATTTTGGTCGTAATGGTTAAGTTGCGAAGCTCCCATGTCTTTTGGATGAAGCACTGGTAGAAGGTCAATTTGCCTCCTATGTTTTAGTAATATCATCAACAGTTATATGATTCAACTTAGTATGTCTTCTTTCCTAGAGATGAATTGATTTTTAAGCTAAAAGGAGGAAAGGAATTTGTTACCACTAAGCCTTGTCTCAATCAGTTGGGGTCAGCTATATGAATTCTTGTTCTCCATTCTGCTCCTGTCAAGTAATAATTATTCAGTTAGATTAATTCTTTGTTACAACTTACTGGACATCAACAGAAATTCTTTGAAATTTTCAAATTCAAGTTTGAGGGGGGTCCACTAACCTTGACATGCTTTACCTTGTTATGTATCAATTGAGCAGTATATATGTATCTGATCAAGCATTGTTTGGCAGATGACTACAGCTATATCCATTGAAGATGTTCGTAGAGAAGTAAAAATATTGAAAGCTCTATCGGGGCATATACATCTAGTCAGATTCTATGATGCTTGTGAGGATGCCAACAACGTGTACATAGTCATGGAGTATGTCCTTTCTTGCCTCTATTCATGATCTTATGGAACTTATTTCTTGAACTAATTCATTTTCTTTTGTTCTATGTTTATGTTGTGTACATTTAAAAAAAAACAAATAATAATATTATTACTGAAAAGGTACTGAAAAGGTTTAACCTTTGTACAAAACAAAGAGTTTGTAATGTATACGTATTGACAATTTATCAAATCTTTCTTTTTTTCTGTGTCAAAAAAAAGAAAAGAAAAAGAAAAGCTTTTGAATAAGCATGAGTAACTAAACGAAATTAAGCAGTCCCATAAGACCTCAAACCTTTTAGGATATTCCTTTTCTTTATTCTCTTCTTCCATGTATTCCATTAATAATCAATGATTTATTATTGATAGATGTCTGTTTCACTCTTCCTGAAAATATTGGAATTACTTGCTACCATTATTAGTTATGTTGATGTTTGTCTATGAGTTTGTGCTCAAAAGTTCTTATTTAGAGTTCCACATCAATTTTTTTGACTTCATTCTTGGATTTTTTTTTGGGGATCTGACGAAGCTTTTGTTTGGTTATCAGATTGTGTGAAGGTGGAGAACTACTCGACAGAATATTGTCAAGGTAATAAGGAACATTGTTTTGATAATTATTTTATTCTTGGTAGGTCCGATTTGAACTTATTATATACTTTTCCTTGGCTACAGAGGTGGTAGATACACAGAAGAGGATGCAAAACTCATTATTGTGCAAATTTTAAGTGTTGTTGCATTTTGTCATCTTCAAGGTGTTGTGCATCGTGACTTAAAGCCTGAGGTTATTGCTTCTTGAACTTGACGTCTTTGTATTTTGCATTATTGGGACACATAATTTTATTTATTTATTTTTAGCTTTCCAAGTAAAAAAAAACTTATTTTCTGTTGCATTTAGTAAACATTCCCCATTGCCGATATATTTTTATGTAATTAATGCCTTTCTAATTGCTTGCATTACAGAATTTCCTTTTCTCCTCTAGAAACGAAGATGCTAATATGAAGCTTATTGATTTTGGCCTTTCTGATTTCATCAGACCAGGTAATAGACACAGTTCATCCTAAGTTTGTTTATTATCTTAATAGATATCCGTATGAATTCTCAGTTATCAATCCTACACTAATGTAATTTTAACCTCATTACATATGGGTTACATAGACTCGGGTATGAGTTTTGGGTGCAGGTGCTTGTCCAATTGTTTCACCTCCTTAAACCCTAAGTCTTAGAACATATATACAAAAATTGGGTACAAGTACGGGTGCTTGGACACGTCTTAATGATTTTTATATATTGCATATTGTATAATATAATAATATTAATATAAGATGTTGTAAATTATTTAGGTATGTATTTGAAATTAAATGGATTTAGGGGAAAAGGGGGGATTTATGTAGTGTTGGTGTTTTATTTCCATCCAGTACTGCTTTACAATAAAGTTATTCTGCCTAACATTCACTGGCCTAATCAAGTTCCTAATCAAGTTGAGTTTGATATTTCTCGTGTCACGGTTGCCTTGTTTAGCCAGTTTATGTGATTAAATGAGCTAGCAATTCAATTAAACAGGTGTCTTCTACAATTATCTGGCTTGTTTATGAACTATTCCTAAGCCTATCTAGCTTGTTTATGAACTATTCCTAAGCGTAATTCTCAATAAAATGCATGTTTTGTATGTGTGCCTAATTGGACTGGGATTGGGATAGTAACAGTTTATCTCAATTATAAAATCAGTAGAATTTAGGTCAAGCTTGGCTCATTTGATCGAGTGAAAAGGCCCAAGCAAGCCTCTTACAAGCTGAGTCCGATCCTTTGACAAACAGCTTGGTTTGTTAAACAGCACTAAGGATAGGAGTTTTGAGGCTGCATTTGGGGTTTTGGAGTCTAGAAGGTAATTAATCCATTAAAATGGGTTCATGCCACATGGGTTTTAGATCCACTTACCTTCTTTTTTTTGATGCAAACTTCCATGTTATTTGCTAGAAGTGTTCCCATGGACTTGTGTCAGTGGGTAGATATTTGTTATAGATATGCAATGGTTATATTTTCATTGGACCGAACACTGAAAAACAAAAGTTGTGATATATGATGCTATAAAGAATAGCTAATAGCAGCAGAGTTTAGCATTGAATTCATAAGATGTTTCTTTTTTTATGACTGTTTATGCAGATGAAAGACTAAATGATATTGTTGGAAGTGCATATTATGTGGCACCAGAAGTCCTCCACAGATCTTATAGTCTTGAAGCAGATATTTGGAGTATTGGTGTTATTACTTACATCTTGTTATGTGGAAGCAGACCATTCTGGGCGAGAACCGAATCAGGGATTTTTCGTTCAGTACTAAGAGCTGACCCTAACTTTGATGATTTACCTTGGCCTTATATGTCAGCAGAAGCGAAAGATTTTGTGAAAAGGCTTTTAAACAAGGATTACAGGAAAAGGATGACTGCTGCTCAAGCTCTGAGTAAGTTGCGAGTTCTAGTTATTGTTTTGTTGAAACTTGAAATAATTTGATTTTCCATACACTAATGACGCATATAAAAATGCTTTTGGAGCAGTCCTTTTCCTTAAATGGTCGCTGCATAATGGTGACCTCACTTTCTGTTAGGTATTAATGATGCAATGCATATTTCTTGTTTATTTAATTTATAGACTAATGCCCTGTATTGTCAATGCAGCTCATCCGTGGTTGCGGAGTGAAAATCATCCTGTTCCTTTAGATATATTGATCTATAAGTTAGTCAAGTCATACCTTCATGCTTCACCTTTCAAATGTGCAGCCCTAAAGGTACTATCTTGTCACTTTGTATAGCTGCATTATTATTATTATTTTGTGATTAATTTTGCTAGAAACAAGGTGTTGGGTATTATTAGATTATTCCCCTTTGGCCATGGTTATTCTTGATTGCTTTCGGCGTACTGTTTGTATTATGTTGCATATTATGTTTGTCACAACGAATTTTGTCTCTAAAGCATTTGTAACATTGGGCTTTGTGTTTGCTAAGTCTCTCCCACCAACACAAATTGTTCCAGCTCTAGGAACAGGAATGGGAATGTGACACATCACCTGCTCTAAAATGCAATATGAAAGGGGGTAGACTTGTATATATTGAACTATTAGAATTTAAGGTACTTCTAAATTGGGAGCAATTAATAGTTTGATATAAAATGCATACAGGTCTACTCTTATCAATATATAATACAGACAGGCTTACTATTTTTCAAATTAATCATGTAGAAATACATTTGTAGGAGCATTGGAACATTCTTGACCTAATAAAATCCCAGGATATGACGACCTACAAGGCAAATGGTCTACTATCATGGCATATGTCCGGCAAATTTAGTTATCAGCAAACTATCCCTAAAATTCAACATTTTTACTTTAAATAGTCATGAACAAGATTCAAATTGAATCCAAAAATTTACTAAATAAGATTTGAATCAGATCTACTCATTTTCTTATCACCATGTTCTTCATTTGGTATATCAACATGCAAAATGTTTTGATTAAGTGTGTTTCTAACTCAATGAGGGTCTTGCGTTTCTTTAATGGGAGAACCAGTATCCCAGTTGTTGATCACGATCACGTCTGCTGTTCTGGAATGGATATTCTTAATAGCTTAGTACTCACTATTACATAAATAACAATTCTCTGTTCACTTTTGGCATCTTTGGTTGTCCATGAATTATGATCTCATTTAACTCGGTATTTGGATTGATTTTTTCCATAATCTTCTTAAGGAAGTTATGTTGAAGATAGGAATCAAAATATTATGCTTGAATATGGAAATTAGAATAGGAATTATTTTAATTATAGGAATTTTGCCTTGTGTATATTGTTTGCTAAATTATATCATGAATATATTTTATATACATGGCCTCTACTTCATTGATTGGTAAGTTAAATGATTTTTTCTATTCTTTTTGGTATCAGAGCTTGGTTGGGCTTGTAATTGGTGTGCCGTTTGTCCGGCTACTATATGTTGTGGTCCAAGGGGGTGTGTTGGAATGTGTCTCACATCTCTTGGAGTTGCCCCATTTGTGTTAGTTATAAGGCTCTAGTTTCCCTCTCTTTAATACCTGGGTTTTAAGGAGAAATGTAGGTTGGGCTTTTCAATTTGGTATCAGTGCCTCTCTAGCCTTCTCTCTCTCAACCTCCCATCACCACTGACTGCCTTCTTTCTTCTCTCTAGCCTCCGATAGCCTTTTCTAACTCATTTTCTTCCTCCGATAGCCTCAGCCTAGCCTCAACCTAGCCTCTGCAACCCTTCTCCTTCCTTGTCTTCACTTCGACAGGCCTTCTTTATCCCTATCGAGGCTTTGGTTGCTGTCGACCAGGCTTGGTTCTGGTCTTACGTGCTTCGGCTACCTCTTTAGGTGGTCCGTGGTTGTTTTTTTCCCCTCTTAGGGTGATTGGACTGATATATTAAGTCATTTTGTCAGTCTTTTTATTCTTTTGGGCTACCTGGTTTATTCGGTAATATTTATTTAGATAAGTTAAGTTTTTTTCCGACTTCTTATTTTTTCTTGGATTATGTTGCTATCTTTGTGTGCTTTTTAGCCCCTCTTCACCCACCATGACTAATCCATCATTTGCTGATATACCCACCAAGCCTGTCCCAATTAGTTTTGATTTTTCTCTTTCTCATCACACTCCTATTCATCGTATTACGAGTGTGGTGTTGAATAGGAAAAATTTTGCTACTTGGAGCCGCTCCCTTAAACTCTATTTAAGGGGCAAAGGAAAAGCTCATTGGCTTTTATCTTCCAGTACCTAGCCTGCTGCAACCAATCCTACATGTGCACAATGGGATATTGATAACTGTACTATTTTGGGATGGATGTTCAACTCTATGGAAGATCATATTTATCACATGTTTTTCTATTGAGACAGTTCTCGTTCTATGGCATGCCTTGTCACAAATGTATGCTCATGCTTATAATGATGCTCGCATCTTTAAGCTCTATCAGGATATTGCTCGTGCTTCTCAGTCTGCCTTGGGTCTTTCTGTGTCAGAATTCTTTGGATACCTTCAGGCCCGTTGGGAAGAATTGGTTCAATATGAGCCATTGACTGAGTTACCAGCAGATGATGCCTCTCTTGTGTCCAAACGCGTTGCTCGCCAACATACTTACTAGTGTATGATGGGTTTAAACTCTGAGTTTGAATCCCTTCGAATTCAGATTTTAAACACATTACCTGTGCCCTCTCTCTATGAGGCCTTTGCCACCATTGATAGTGATGAGCGTTGTATGCGTCTATTTCATCCGAATCCTTCTCCTTCGTCTCCAGTTTCATCTGATCAGATGGCTCTTGCTGCAAAGTTTGGTTCTTGGGGTTCTATTAGTCTAGTTACTTGTCGTTATTGTGGTGTTTCTGGTCATGTTAAGGCTTGTTGCTTCAAACTTCATCATGAGTTGAGGCAACGTTCCTCTCGCCCTCGTGGTGCTAGCACCCCTCGCATTGCGACTCTATTAGATTTTGCTACTCTTGCTCTTGGGTCTTCTTATCTCCCCAATTTACAGGAGTTACAGACTCAGATTGGTCAGCTTTAGGCTCATCTACCACTTCTGCCACCCTTGCAGCAGGTACTTCTACTACTTTCCATGTTCGGTCTGCTAGTCCCTCATGGGTTTTGGATTTTGGGGCTAATGATCATATGACGGGTGAGTTTTCCTTTCTTTTTTCGTCAGTCCTTACTACTATTGCCCAGTTTGTGCATCTCGCTGATGGTTCATTATCCTCTGTTCGTCATAAGCGTATAGTGTCTTTATCTCCTACCATTACTTTATCATCTATTTTACATGTTTCAAATTTTGCATATCATCTCTTATCCGCTAGTCGTCTTGCCAAACAATTTAATTGTGCTGTCATTTTCTTACCCTCTTCTTGCCTTTTACAGGACCTGAGTTTGAAGAGGATTTTTGGCAAGGGCTATAAGCATGATGGACTGTACTACTTTGGGGATCTACCAGACGAGTCTTCCTCTTCTTCCTTTGCTAGTTTTTAGGCCTCTGTTTTGCCTGCCTCCATGTCTTGTGTTTTTAATATTCTGACTTTAGAATTATGGCACGCTCGTATCGGTCATGTTAATTTTCAGTATTTATGTCAATTTTTTCCTTCATTTAATAAAGTTTGCAAAGATTTTAAGTTTCATTGTGTGGTTTATGAGTTGTCTAAGCATATCTGTACTAAGTATATCCCTCATATGACTCATGCTCAAAGTGTTTTTGATCTTATATATTCTGATGTCTGGGGCCATTCCCTTATCACCGCTTTTTCTGGTCATAGATATTATGTGACTTTTATTGATGATCACATTAGGTGCACTTGGGTTTATCTACTTCGTCGTAAGTTTGACATCGTTTCCATTTTTGTCCAATTTTTACAGATGATTAAAACTCAGTTTCATACAGTTGTTAGGACTATTCATTCTGATAATGGTGAAGAATATATTTATAATGCATTTCATTCTCATCTTAATCAAATCGGTATTTTTTAGTAACTTACTTGTTTTCGGACCTCTGAACAAAATGGTGTTGATGGACGTAAAAACCGTCCCAAGTCTTATTGGTATATGGCTGTCCTTATTGTTGTTTACCTCATTAATAGAACCCCTAGTCGTGTGTTGCATGGTCTTACTCCGTTTCATATCCTTATGGCCACTACCACTTTGTTTCCACTCTTACCTTGTGTCTTTGGGTGTAGCTGTTTTGACCAAACTTAGAGTCCCACTCGCACAAAGTTAGATGACAAATCTATTCGTTGTATCTTCTTAGGGTACTCTTCTATGTCCAAAGGGTATAGGTGTTATGACCCTTTGTCTCGTCACTTTCACCACACTTTGGATGTTACATTTTGTGAGGATCTTCCCTTCTTTGGTACTAACCATTCTTTGCAAGCTTTTCCTTCTGTTACTTCCACTGTTCGTTCGGTAACCATTTGGGATGAGGTTGAGAATGAGGTTGTCCCCATTCCTTTTTCTCAACCTTTGCCTTCTCCCCCATTACAAGTATACTCCCATCACCCACGCCCTCAGCCCCTTCTGTCGCCTCTCCGATTTTTGGGTTAGGTTACTCTTCTCCTTTAGCTCCTCCACCTCCTCGTCATAACCCACATCGGGATTGACATCCTCCAAATTGTTGAAGTTATTTGAGTAGTACTAATCATCCTATTTTTCAGTATCTTTCCTATGACAGGGTTTCTCATTCTTACCATTCTTTTCTTGGCAAGCTTGAGTTGGAGTCCATTCCTTTTTCTTTGTCCGAGGCCTTTTAGAATCCCAAACGGGTAGCGGTTATGCAGACTGAAATGGAAACCTTAGAACAGAATCACACTTGGGATCTTATACCTTTACCTTCTGGGGAAAGCGCGGTTGGTTGCAAATGGTTGTTTACTATAAAGTACCTCGCTAATGGCTCAGTTGACCTTTGCAACGCCCTTTTGGTGGCCAAAGGTTTCACACAAATTTTTGGCAAGGATTTTGGTGCCACTTTTGCCCCTGTCGCAAAACTTACCTCTGTATGTTTATCACCCTTGCAGTATCTCATTCTTGGCCTCTTCACCAGCTTGATGTCAAGAATGCATTTCTCCATGAGAATCTTCTTGAGACGATTTACATGGCTCCTCCACCTGGTTTTCGGGTTGAGGGGAAGTATTCGGGGAAAGTGTGCTGGTTACGGAATTCCTTGTATGGTTTGAAATAGTCTCCACGAGCATGGTTTGGTCACTTAAGCTCTGTTATTATATCTATAGGCTTTGTTCAGTGTTACTCCGATTACACTTGTTTCATTCGCCGGAATTCTGTAGTATAATCTTGTTAGTTTATGTGGATGATATTATTCTCACAGGTGATGACTTTGTTGGCATTGGTCAAGTAAAGAAGAATTTGGGCCAAACTTTTAATAGTAAGGATCTGGGATGTCTCAACTATTTTCTGGGAATTGAGGTGGCTCGCTCAAGGGAGGGGATCTCCTTGTCTCAAAGAAAGTACACCCTTGACTTGTTTCGGGATATTGGTATGTTAGAGTGTAAACCTGCTTCTACTCATCCTAATGTCAAATTCACATCAAAGTCTGGTGAGTTGTTGGATGACCCAAGCATGTATTAGCGTCTTGTTGGGTGCCTTATTTATTTGACCAACACTAGACCTGACTTGACAATTGTAGTTAGTGTTGTGAGTCAGTTCATGTATGCACCTCGTAAAGAGCACCTTGACGCGATTCATCACATTTTGAGGTATTTGAAGACTTTTCCTGGCTTGGGATTGTTCTTTACCGTTGGCCTCCGATCTGGGCTCTCTTGTTTCACCGATGCCGGCTATGTAGGATCTAAGATTGATTGGCGTTCCACTTCTAGCTTCTGTACTTTCTATGGTGATTATCTTATCTCATGGAAAAGTAAGAAGCAGACGGTTGTTTTTAGGTCTTCTGCAGAGACTGAGTATTAGGCTATGGTACATGGGACATGTGAGATTCTTTGGATTCGTTCTATTCTGGTAGAATTGGGTTTTGAGGAGACTATTCCTTCCTCTTTATTTTGTGATAAAAATCTGCTATTTTGTTATCTTTTGATTCTGTGCTTCATGAGCGTACCTGGCATATCGAGGTTGACATACATTTCATTTGAGAAAAGGTTCGGACTGGCATTGTGCGTCCATCCTTTGTCTCTTCTTTTTAGCAGTTGGCGGATATGTTCACAAAACTTGTGGGACTAACTTTGCTCCAGTCGTCTATTGACAAGCTACGTTTGTTGAATATCTTCATGCCAATTTGAGGAGTGTTGAATATAGGAATCAAAATATTATGTTTGAATATGAAAATTAGAATAGGAATTAGAATTTGAATTATTTTGATTATAGGAATTTTGTCTTGTATATATTGTTTCCTAAATTATATCATGAATATATTATATATACATGGCCTCTACCTCATTGATTGGTAAGCCAAATAACTCTTTTCATTCTTTTAGCTATGCATGTACTTTATTGCATTTTGATTGTTGTCCTTAGTTTTCTTCACAAGATTTTTTCCATCTGTCTATGTTACCCTCATTATACAAATATGCTTCATTCAAGGGGATGAATTTCTGCATTAAAAATAAGTTGAAATGATTTTATATCCATACCAAAAAAATCAAAACCAAACCAAGCCTTAAGTCTCATCAAATGGGGTCGGTTACATGGATCCTTCTTCTCCACGCGGTCCTATCAAATGTCATTCCGTTAGTCATATTAAGTATATCCATATCTCTATTTACAACGTTAACTAACGTTAATGTAGGCTTACCTCGTCCCCTAACACTTCCATCTACCGTTACAGCATCGCATCTCTTCATTATTGCCTTTGTTGGTCTCCGTTGAATATGAACAAACCATCTCGATCGATTCTCTCTCAACTTGTCGTCTATCGGTGCTACTTCTACCCATTCCCGAATACACTCATTCCTAATTCTGTCTTGTCTAGTCTTGCCACTCATTCGCCTTAGCATTCTCATCTCAGCCATACTCATCTTATTTACATGTTGTTTCTTGGTTGCTCAACACTCCATCCCATACAACATTACTGGTCTAATAGCCGTTCTATAGAACTTACCTTTTAAGTCTAGTGGGTATTCGTTTATCGCACAGTACCCCAGACGCACTTCTCCACTTAAACCATCCCGCCTTAATCCTATGGGTCACATCTGCATCAATCTCCCCTGCTGTTGTGATAATCGACCCTAAATAACGAAAATGTTCACTCTTAAGGCAGTTCTTGGTTTTCAATCTTCACTTCTCTTCTGCTTTCATTGTTACTATTACTAAATTTACACTCCATGTACTCTGTCTTAGTTCTGCTTATTCGGAATCCTTTAGATTCAAGAGTTTTTCTCTAAATCTTTAAATTTGTATTAACTCCTTCTCTAGTCTCATCCACTAGCACTATATCGTTTACAAAAAGCATACACCATGGCATTTCATCATGAATATTTCTCGTCAACTCATCCATAACTAAAACAAAAAGATAAGGACTTAAGGTAGATTGTTGGTGTAACCCTACAGTGATAGGAAATTTATTTGTCTCTCCAGCAGGTGATCTAATAGTGGTCACCACCCCTTCATACATGTCCTTAATCACATCAATGTAACCTTTTATCACCCCTTTATGTTTAGCAAACTAAAGTTGTTATCCTTCATTTGTTTATGCAAATTTCAATGTATGCTTCTGAAATATAGGCTAGAATCTAGAATTTGTGGTCAGCAATTGAAAACCAGATGTTTCATTTCGGAAGGAATCGTATTTTAATTTTCAATACTGGTTAGCTTTACAAACTTACATCTGTAAACTGAAAGTTTCGTTTGAGGATTGATTGTGTGACTCACATCATCAACCTTGTAATTTGTATCACTGTTCTTCTTGTCCAGTGTTGTTAAAGGCGCGCCTAGGCGCGCGCCTAGGCGCAAGGCGCAGCGAGGCTCAACCTGTGCGCCTGAACTGGTCCCAGGCGAGGCGCGTTGAAGAAGTCGCGCGCCTTAGGCACGACTGGAAGCAGGCGATAGAGGCGCAAGGCTCGCGCCTAGGCGCGACTGATGTTTACGCCCTAATCTTTGACTGAAACGACTGAAACGAAGCCCTAATCTGCGTCGTCTCTTCGTCTCTCCATCTCTCGACTTTGATTCGACTTCGACTTGGACTGGGGGGCTACGACTTCGACTGCGACTTCAACTTACAGGTGCGCTACACTCTCTCTCTCTTCCCTTCGACTTCGATCATCTGTCTCTCGCCCTCCTTCGCCTACGATCATCTGTCTCTCACCGAAAAAAGACTTGAATTTGGAAAATCTAATTTTGTGAATTGAAGTGATCGATTAAGGTTTCTGATCTGATTTATAGTTCTCATTATTGCTGTTGCTTGCAGGCTCTTTCGAAAGCTTTAACAGTGAACGAGTTGGATTTTCTTAGAGCTCAATTTTTGCTCTTGGAACCTAATAAAGATGGATACATCTCTCTTGATAACTTCAAAATGGTTATTTACTTCTCTTTCTTATTATCTTTGAAGTTAAGATGTGGTTTATCATTTCAGGGAATCCTTGTTTTATAGGAAAGATATTAAATGCTTTGTATTATCCATTTTCCTTTTGTCTATGGTTGAGATTTTGGTTAACGAAGAACTTAAACTAAATTTTCAGGCTCTTGTGAGAAATGCAACTGATGCAATGAACGAGTCAAGGGTTCCTGACATTCTTAATGCGGTAAGGCATATGAGATTATTATTTTTCAGTAGAAACCATTGATCAATGTGTTTGATTTATTTTAGAATTAGAACGTCTTTTGCCCATTTACATGCCTAAGTTACCCATAATGTAACTGTTTGCACTCTGCATTTGCTTTATGTATTGCTATGACAGTGAATTTAAAGGGGATTTATCTTTAATCATAATAAATTACCTGCATTTAACTCCAAACTTGTGCGGTGCTTTCTCGCAACTTCTACCTACCTTCCTTTCTTCCTGTTTTATCTCTAGTGAATTAAGAAAATACAGCATTTTAATGTCCTTTTGTTATATATTAACATCACAGTTTGTTAACACACACGTGCACAGCCATGAGAGAGAGAGAGAGAGAGAGAGAGTGAGAGGGAGCATTATGGTTCCTGAATTTATGGCTCATATTGGTTTCAGATGGCACCACTTGCGTATAGAAAGATGGAGTTTGAAGAGTTTTGTGCAGCTGCAATTAGCACATATCAACTGGAGGCTGTTGAAGGGTGGGAGCAGATTGCATCAACAGCATTTGAGCATTTTGAGCAGGAGGGTAACCGAGTCATCTCAGTGGAGGAATTGGCTCGGGTATTTAAATCTGAAGCTTTAAGAACAATTTCTTAATCATTATTTTTCCTTTTAGCGTTGAAAAGAGTCTTGGTCAATAGATTCTTTTATTGATGCAGGAATTGAACGTGGCGCCATCAGCTTATTCGCATATCAAAGACTGGATTCGGAGCTCTGATGGGAAGCTTAGTTTACTTGGGTATACCAAATTTTTGCATGGCCTGACGCTTCGGAGCTCAAACACAAGACAACAATAGGTTTTTTTAGCATTTGACAAATGATAGCAATTAGAATTCATGGCTTTCAAAGGATTTGGAGTTTTTTTTTTTTTTTTTTGTCCTTTTGTGGTTTTTTAGCCCAAGTGGTGGGGATAGAAAAATGTGTACAAATGAATATAGTAGTTAAGTCAGCTGGGAGTTTGGTGAGGCAATTTTATGTTGGATTTTCTCCATGCTCATTCCCTCTGCATATTCCAAAGTTACTTGGGTTTGAGCGTAAAATTCGGAATTTTAATTTTGTTTTTTGGTTCCAAAGAAATTTATGAAATTTTTAGTTTTGTCTGGCTCAACCTCTGTTTATTTTAGAAATCAAAATGGTTTTAACTTCTATCTGCTCAGATTGCCTTGTGTTAATTCATATAGTTTATAATTCCATGACCGTAAAGTTAGCTGTTGGTGGTGGAATGTAAATGTTGTGTGAAGGATTTGTAATGTGGCAGCGACAAGCGACACTGCTATCATTTTGGAAATATGAATGTAGCTTCCAACTATGCCCTTGTTGGAGACCTTCCATATTTTGTCAAGTTTTTTTTGTTTTTGTATTTGTTTTTTGAGCATATTATTTTTCTATGTTGGAGACCCCGATAAACAGTATTCGGCTCATTTTTTTAACGGGGTTTAAACTTCATAGGACATTTGGTGATCGAACATTCTTATCCTGTCTGTTTTGATTCACTTTCTCCGTGACAGTGATATAGTTGTGGGCAGGTTATGGAATGCATATGTTGTGATAAATTTAGTGGTGCTAGGTAACGCACTGTTTTGTTTTGTTTTGTTTTCAGAATAGTGAGAGACAGCATTGTTTTGTTTTTCAGGAATAGTGAGAGAGAGAATGATATAATGTTTGTCCCATTTTCTTTGCTATATACATACATTTGTGTCATGGTGTATTCTTGCCACAAGTTCCAACACAAGAAAAATGACAAAAATAAAAAACTATTTAGAGAAAAGAACACAAGTTTTCTTTGGTTGTTTGCTTCTTCTGGTTTTTGTTTCTGTTTTCGCCTATTATTGCGTCGCCTCATTTTTTTTTTTTGGTTTTTTCATAGAGGACTAATTACTACTTCTTGTTCTTATCAAGATAGATTACAATAACTTTCTTTGAAATTTAGAGAATGTATTAAGTTTAATAAATTCAGTATAATTATATTGAACTCTTTTAAAGTTTTAATTTACACAATACTTAGTTTTCTTTTCATAAGGTATTAGTTAGTTATATTGTTGACAAAATGATGTCATTTCTTTATACTGAAATTTGTATTTTATCTTATTTATTTTTGTTTTATTATGTCATCTTTCGATCATTTTAATCTTACTAAAGAAATATCGGTATAATTATACATGAGGCATGCATGTAATGATATATGATATACTTCCATTCATTTTGTATATAGAAATAAATGTTGAGATCTTGTCGAAAATCATGTCACTTGTAAATTTTAAAAATTATTTATAATTTAATAATTAAGAGTACATTCAAACATAAAATTTAATCAGACGTATCAATGGCTTCACTGGATGGGTTTTGAGATTTTTTGACTTTGTCAAGAAACCTCAGGACTACTAAGACTTGTTTGATTTGTATCTCAAGATATAATTTTAAGAAATTTTTAAAAAATTTTGTTTGGTTCAAATTTTTTGTATTTTTTTTTCAAATTCACTTTGTCTCTTCTACATATCAATCAATCATTTTTTCTCTCTTTTCTCTCATTCTCAATCACTTTTTCTCTTATGCATAACTACTCAACTACAACAAAATATCAAATCATTCCAAATTCCAAAATTATTTTCAAAATATATAACCAAACAAACAAAAAAAATTTACAAACCCTCTTTCCAAATTTTTATTTTGAAAATTTATCTCAAAATACAAACCAAACGCGTCTTTCAATTTTTGTAATTGATTTTATTCACAAGGATTGGACGTTTTTGTATTTTTCAAATAAGGACAGAAAGTTGCTATCTAAAAAACAATAGCAATAAGGTTAGAAAGTTTGGTTTGAGATATTGACAGTCGAACAAATAAATATCAGTTTGGCACCACTTGCTTCAGACCCTCTTCTTTCTTTCAAAATTTTAGTTCAATTTTTATGCTTCAATTATGATGAATAAAATCTTTTTGACATCTTATTTGGAACTTTTGGTGAATATTCATGAGGTTTAAGTGCCTTTTTAATCTCTACATTATGTAATTTGTATCATTTTGATTTTTTATGTTTAAATTGTGTTAATTTAGCCTCTAATATAATAAAAAAATATTCGATTTAATCCCTTAATATAAATATGTCAGTATACACACTTAAATCAAGAGTTGTGCCGAAGTTGGGAAGAGCTAAAGGGTTGTATTGAAGGTGGGAAGTGGCTGAGGGGTGGTGGCTAAGGGTGGCCAGAGCTAGTAGTGGTGGTGGTGGATGGGAGTGAGCGTAGGGTATATTTTGATATTAAGTGGGATGTTCAAATTTTTTGTCTACAGGTCCTTATTTAGAAAGTTAACTATTTTAGTTAGTTATTTGATTTTTTGACTATGTTAATTTGGTTAAAAAAATTGTGTTTGGAAAGTCGATTAGTTTTTCTTTTTGTAGTTGATTTGTTGATTATGAAAAAAAAAAAAAAATTGATTATGAATTAGATATGATATTTTGTCTTATTCATGAGATTAAAGAGATTGGTGAAAAAATTAAGGGAGGATCAAAGAAGTTGCGTGAGGGCAGTTAGAAGCTTCTGATTGCCACAAGTGAGTTTGGCAAAAAAGACGATTGGGGGCATGCATTAAATTTTCATCTATCCTTACATCCTTAACCAATGAAAAGAAGATAATGCTATTTTTTTTAATATTTATCGTATAATTTAAATTTAATTAAAATGCGAATTCTATAATAGAAGTGTCAAATAATATAATACATAAATAGATGTTTTACTTAATTTTTTTACGTAAGATCATATTAATAAATACAAACAGGATTATCCATTATTTCATATATAATGATGATTATTAAATTGAGTAAGAAATTCATTTGTATATAAGATTTTTATTAGTTTCATTCACTTATCCAATTAATATGGTTTGGAATAAAAGCTCCAACAGCAAGCAACTTTATTTTCGTGGTCATCATCAACAACAATCATCAATATTATCACCAACCTCACCAAAATATATTACTCTACATAAAAAAGAAAAGAAAAGAAAAGAAAAGAAAAGAAAAGAACAAGACACCTAAATCTCTTAAAATGTACAGATACAATTCAACAACCAGCTAATTAACTAGAGTGTTTTGAGTGTTATATTTAATCAATCTGTGAAACCCTCAAAACAACCAGCATAGGTGGTGGTGGTGGTGGTGGTGATGTAGTTCCTCATCAATCATACCCTGAACGTATCGAAACTCCTCCACGTGGCAAGGGATGGTGATAGTACCTTTCTGATCGAACCCGTACTCTTCCTCAGCTTCCTTCAACAGCTGCATGAACCGCGGGTGATTGAAGTACATCACAGGCACCACAAATCTCTGCTGTTCCTCCTCTTCCTGTCCCACCTTGATTGCCAGACACCCTTTCGGCACATCTCTCACCACCTCCTCTTCTTGTTTCTTCCCTTGGTGGCGGTGGTGGTGGTGGTGTTGGTGTTGGTGAAAGCTCAGCAGGCTCTTGTCTCCGCTACCCATGAGAAACAAAAAGAAAATTAACAAACAAGAGAGAAAGATAAACCCTAGGTTTCCCTTTTGTTTGCTTTTTTCCTTTTTCCGAGAAAATTCTACAAGAAAATAGAAGAGAAAAGAGAAGGGTCAGCCATGATAATCTGCTTCAAGAGGGAAGAGTATATAGAGACCTTGCAAAGGTACTCATGGTTCATAAACGCCTACTATAAAAACACACCAGAATAAAAAGAAATTGGTATTTATAAGCCTATAATAGGTGTGTATATATTTATATGTGTGTGTGACTGATTTTTTTGCTCTCCTCACATGGTCCTCTCTTCCATTACATAAAAGGATACGAATAATTGGAATATTATTGATTTTTCTTATGCGGTAGGATGGTTTCAATTATTTATTTTTTTAAATGATCGGTACATAACATTTAGGAAAAGAAAAATAATTTACCAACAAAATTTTCATATATAAAATTCAATCAGAATATGTGATAGTGATGATTCTAAAATTATAAATTTTAATACAAAAATTATATTTATCTATCATTAATCTAATATTTATTACGCAGATGCATGTGAGAATTAATATAAAATCTCATTTTTTTTTTTTTTTTGGAGTTTAAAGCTGCTTCATATTACGTGGATGTGGATTGTTGGTTAATGTGTTCAATGCGTAAAAGATTGAGTTGAAATTAATCATTAAGAAAAGGAAATAAACAATAATTTTCTATTTGAATATACTAATTATGATTGATTTGTAAATGAATTCCTTTAAAACAAGACTCAAATTAAATTATGGTTAACAATTTTCAACAATAAATCATGAACTTGGATGTTTATTGGGATAAAAACCAATCTATGGTAGGTCCCAGCTTGGATGTATATATACGTCGTGACTTAAATATGAATATAATGTACCCATCAAACAAACGAGATTGAAATAGAATAAATGTAGATCCAAAATGACAGAATTGTCCTTTCATTTCCATTAAAATTCCAACCAAAGCCCCTAAGCCTGACTATGAGAGAGAGAGAGAGAGAGAGATGGGTCAATAATATCATAGTGTTAAATGGGAAAGATGTTTATTGCCCTGTTAATAACAGTATAACATAGGAAGTTCTTTTTAAATGACTTAAAAAATAGAAAAATTTAGCAAAAACTTCTTCGTTGACCTTTTATTTGGTGAAAATGACAAGTTAATTTAAAATGACAACTTAATTTATTTTGTTTTATAAATCCCCTAAGAATGAGGCATATAATTGAACAAGGACATAGTAATTTTTTTTTTCTTGGACAATATTGCCCATACATATATATATATATATATATATCTCACAAAACTCTTTTGACAATGGACACTTTTATTTTATTTTATATAAATTTAAAAATGTTATGTATGTGTATTTTTGGTTGGTTCATCTAGTAAAGTATTCTGTTTTTTGTAACAGTAAAATATTATTATAAACTAGAGTAACATGTTACTATTTACGTCAATTTTGATGGTATTTTTTATTTTTTAAGAATTTCATAACCAATATAGATCTTATTTGATAGATTTTGATGAGAGAGTTCTAAAAATATTAATTTTATTACAAATTGATATCTAGATCAAAAGTTATATTATTTTAAAATTTAAGTGTAGGTCCTAATAGATGGACTTGTTATCTAATAGGTCTTGTGATAATTAACAGCGTTTTTCATCAAATATATTAGAAGTCATTAATTGTTTTCAAAGACAATTTGAAAAATCTTTCACAAAAAAGTTACTAATTATAAGTTTTAGCGACAGTATAAAAAAATCGTCACAAAAAAAGTCACTAATTTTCAGTTTTCAGTGATAATTAAAAAAATTTGTTACAAAAAAAGTCACTAATTGTAAGTTTTAACAATAATTTATAAAAAAAGTGATAGAAAAAGTCACTAATTATCAATTTTTACAGACATGTGCAAAAAATCGTTACAAAAAATTATTTTAGCGATGATTTTACTAAGACTAACTTTTAATAGGACTTAATGGGAATTAAGTCTAATTATTAAGACCTATTAGTATTTTATCTAAAATATTAAATTACTCACTACGTATATTTTGGTAATAATGATATGTGTTGGACTTTTCAAGATTTTTTTTTTGTATTTATCCTTAATACATTAAAATTTTATTATGAGGGTGCTTTGATTAAATTTCCCTAAAAAATATTCAATATTTTCCAAAGAAAAAGAAAAGAAAGAATATATTAACCAGAGTATTGGATGCCCTCATGCCTATTGTTTAAATGAAAATTATAAAAATTAAAGTAAAATTCCAGTGATGTTATATTGATTTGAAATTATAGATATTATTGGCTTGACTCATCTTTTTAATTTTTTAAGGTACCTTTCAACAGTAGAGCTTAATAAGGGACAAAAACAAGTCATTCAAGTAGGGTGCATGCTAAACATGCTCTTTATTAATAATTTTGAGAAGAATCTTAAAATATTATGTGTTATTGATCACGTGGTGTTTTGCATTAATGATATAGTGAAAAATTATACAGACACGGACAGGACAATACTAATTCACATTTATCAAGTAACTAAAAGATAAAAGATAACTCATTTTATGTGTTTTGTTATATTGCATTTGACGAAAAAATTGCAGGAATGATATCACATAATACTCTATAACTATCTTATAAATTTTTATATAAAGATGGTGTGGTAGTGAAGAAGATGCAAAGTCAAGGAAGTGAGGAATGGGATCGGGGGAAACCATCCAAAGTGGGGAACTAAGAAATGTGATTCCCTGTGATTGGAAATGTGATGCCTTTCTCCTTTTAGATATTCATTTGAATAATATTATATGTATCAATTAATATATTAACAGATGATGTAGCATGATTTTAGAAATTTTTGATATTTGTAATTTGTATAATAGGTGGAGTTAGTAATAATATCATAACATATATTGATACACTAGTTGGTATACTTATTAGTACATGTAGCACTACCGTATTCATTTTCATTATCAAATAACTCATTTGACCAATTTTAATTATTGAGAAAAACACTCATACTTTTAATTAATAGGATATGTATTAGTTGATATGATTTCATATTAATATTTGCACAAACAAGATGTAGCACTAGACAAATCAAGGCGGATCATGATTTCTAAAATATCACTTCAACATCAATCGAATGACAAATTCTACATGAAAATTTTGCATCATGGTGTGAAATAATTGAATGCAACACCCCTCAAACATTTAAGCTCATAACTATCTCCATGTCTAGCCCTACCTTTCCTTGCAATTTAAGATAAGCTTATCAAAAACTTGATTTGGTCAAGATTTGGACCATGATTTTTTTAATATGTTCAAGCTTGATTACGAGGTCTGTTCTCATTGGGTACTATTGGATTTGGACAAAATCTTTAATCAAATTGAGCTCATGTTGTTGATGTTATACCGTCGCATTTCCTAGTGTGTGTTTTAGAAAATGGGGAGGTAATACCCATCATGATAGGTGAGTCTGTACATAAGATTTAATTTCCATATATGAGTGGAAACATTAAACTCAATTGATATACCTTTTAGGGGTAGGACTTGGATAATTACTCACACAATCATGTGGGTTTAATTTGGGAGTAATTGTTGCATACTTCCTTAATTATGATTGATTTAAATTGTTAAGTCTATTATAGTTATATTGGTATTACACGATATTACTATGCAAATAAGGTATTGGTATTATGTGACATTACCATGTGATATATTCTTTCTGCATCCAATAATTTTTCTTAATTTGGAGGCACTATGATTTTTGTGTCTAGTGAGCCTTTAGATGTTGAGGAGAAAATAGATAGAGTTTGAAATGATCCAAATTATATAGGAATGTGTCGAGTCCAACATTGAAAGTTTACAATAGAGACGATAATAAGGGGACAATAAACCCTTTTTATTGTTGTAGGCCATATTGAATTGGATAGATTGAAAGAATACCAAAGTAATTTGCAAAAGATAAGGGCCTATAATATTTTTGTTTTCCACTTTCAAGTTTCCAAGAAACAAAAAAATAATAGAGTTTGAAAACAGTTTGTTTTTATTTTTTGTGACAATTTGAAAACATGGAAAAAATTTATTTATTTATTTTGTTGGCATCATTTTTGTATTATATTTTTAAAAAATACTGGAAAATTATTTGGACAACTGAAAAAAAAAAAAGAGCATAAAATAAATAAACGGATAGCTGGGCCTAGGCCTTTATACATAGAAAATTCCAGTCCATTATTACTATAGAAAGTGCAGGCCATAGTCCACTGAAATTCTTGACATGCCTAGTCCAACTTCGTTATCTAAAAAAAACTCCCTAGGCCTAAAGATGGGATCAAAGTGTATGAAATTATTTATTTATTTATTTATTCACACTGTTTGTTAAGTGTCTTCATATGTTCTTTGTTACTTTTTGTTGCTTTACAATTTACTGAATAGCGATTCACTAGATTAGGATTACACAACACAGATTTGAGAGCACACTACAACCTTGGTATCTTCTCTTCATTATTTACAGGTAACTTTATTTATTAATTTTTACTTTTAAATAAAAATTATGAGTATTAATTTATAGCTATTTATTATTTTTGTAATTGTGTAAATTCTTGTAGTGTTTGTTACTTTTTGTTGCTTTACAATTTACTGACTAGCGATTCACTAGATTAGGATTACACAACACAGATTTGAGAGCACACTACAACCTTGGTATCTTCTCTTCATTATTTACAGGTAACTTTATTTATTAATTTTTACTTTTAAATAAAAATTATGAGTATTAATTTATAGCTATTTATTATTTTTGTAATTTTATTTGTTATTATTTATGTTAAAATAAGAGATTTTGATATGCTAAAATTATTAATCTTAATTGTTGGTGATTTATATTAAAATTAAGAATTTTGGTTTGTTGTTGTTTGTGCTAAAATTAGGGATTTGATTTGTGCTAAAATTAAAAATATTAATTTGTAGTGGTTAATATTTAAATTAGGGATTTTGATTTGTTATAATTTGTGCTAAAATTAGAAATTTTGATTTGTTGTGATTTGTGCTAAATTTAAAACTTAATATTTGTATTAAAATTAGAGATTTTGATTTGTGGGAGTTTGTGATTTTGATTATGAATTTTTATTTTTTAAATCATTCATGGAGAAATATTTCAAAAGAAAATCAAAATTGGAATCATTTTTTCCTCAAGATGAAGATGATAATTATTCTTCCGCAAAACAAAGTCGCATAGAAATCAACTTAACAGACCTTGGTTGTCTACATTGAGAGAGATATTTTT